ATGGAATTTGAAAGCTGATATTTCAATTCTTGATTCAAATTCTAATCATTGGATCAATGGAAATATTACACAAGTGAATAAAATGAAGGAAGAACGTCCGTTCACATACTCCATCTATTTTAATGGTCAGCTGTTAGTGATGGAAAACCATTTTATTTCACTGTACGCAAAAATCTATGACAAATCTGAAAATAATACTTTGGCTAATTATGCAAGACGTCCTCCTTTCAATCCGAAACAATATGAATACATATTGACCATATACTCCAATAAATATCCTGATGCCTTTTATATCCTACTGTTCACCACTCAAAGATTCTTGGAATCCCCGCGCTCTGGTCGGTTTGTCACCGTGAGAACTCTGGGGGAACGAGTTCCATTGGTTAAATAAACATGATCAAGTACGAACTATTCTTGATAAATGACTAGAGAATAACTTCACAAAAGTTATGAAGAAAGACTAAAATCTTAGACTGAAAAATCTCACAGGTTATGAATTACTATAAAAAAAAATCATCAGCTCATGAATCGTTGTGTTGCTTAAACTGAATAAAGGTTACTTTTATTTTCATTGGTTTGATATATAAAGTACACTGAAAACAAATGATATCAAACGAAAGCTTTGAGGTTTTGTAAGATAATAGAGAAAGTTTTTATGGTATCGCATGCAAAAGGTTGTGTATTAAGCTATTTCTTTTTCCTGTTTTATGTATTGTACAAACAAATATTCGTTAATCAGAAAGTCGACCGATCTCAATTTCTCCATTGTTTGTATCGTTAATCAATTTATAATGATTCTTTTTTATCTGTCGTTGCTATTTTATTTTGCATTGGTATGTTTTCATACTAATCCTTTTCCTGAAAAAATATAGTATTTTACATTCGATCAAAGGTATTTTTTCAAATACGGATTCTCCAGATTCTCCTATTTCAAATGATATATTGTTTGTCTTCTAGTTTTCATGTTTTCATGGTGAAATTATCAGTCTACGAAAAACAACTCAGCCGGACAGGATTAGGAGGTACTTCCCTAATTCTGTCGATCAGCAAAAAAATGTCCCTAGTTCTGCGTCTTCTAATAAAATACATACGAAAACTTAATTTTAGAGAAAAAAATATTTTTTGATGTTTTTCGAGAGAGATGAAGGGAAGGTATCTAAGACATTTTTGTAGAGCAGGTCAAGCTCTATAATAATTCAAAGATTCAAGACAACCGTATCTTCTTTTATTAAGATGCAATCCTTGAAATGAAGATACTCGAAGAGAGTGGTAAAAAAGTTGTCCCTAATTCTGCGTTCCAGCTATTTTTTTTCCCTAATTCTGACGGTCCAGCCAATTTTTGTCCCTAATTCTGACGGCAGCTATCTTGAAGTTTTAGGGTGTGGGTGTGGATGTGGATATGTAGGTTTGAGTGTGGGTGTGGGTGTATTTTCTGAAACAAGTGGAACCCACACCCACACCCTTTCTGACGCAGCGAAAAAAAAAGTACAACGTATTTAAAAGATTAAATGACACATTCAAGGCAAAAACACCATCTGTGTTAGAGAAAAGTAATTAGATCATTTATGTATATTTGTCAAACAAAATATATAAACTATTGAATCATACAAGAAACAAACGAAACCATTGTTTTACTGAATGTTAACGCCTAGATTTAATGATTTCAACAATCTCACTAGTTTAGACAGGATATTAAATAAAAATTTATTTTCAATTAATAAAACAACTAGTAAGCAAGGTAATGTTGTTTGTAAAAAGTCAAATATTATAATAAATAGAGGTAACCATTAACTACTTAAGGCATATCAAAACTAGCGGCAGTAGCACTTTCATACCACAGAGAAGGTTTGAGGAAACTTAATAATAATCAAGAATAGCTTTTTGTTCCTTTGTTTTTCTTCATAAAAATAAAAGCAACATCTGACTGCAAAGAAACTTCTCGTTTAACATTCAATTTTCATTTATTTGAAGATTCCAACAGAGTTTGCGCTTTCATCATGTTTTTTTTCCAGACAATATTTTAATATTTGAATCGAATAGCAAAACCACATGTTTCACAACTAAACGTTTTTTACAGTGATCTTATGTAAATATCAACGTTTATAGTCGATACATCATTTACACTATTGATCACAAAGTATACAAAAAGAAAAATGAAGATAAGTTATAACTTCAATGTTATATACTTAATACAAATAAAATTATCTAGAAACGATGAGAGATTTGTATTTAATAATAACTCAATATTTTGGACACCCAATTTCATATTTCGTTCTTCATAAAAGAAAATGATATGAGACAATATCAATTTTATTTCAATTTAAAAAGCTTATATATTTTAATAATATAGAGAGGTTCGAAAGTGATGGTTTATCTTATGAATTGACAAAATGAATTAAGAGACGACTGCTAAACCAAAAAATGATATTCTAACTCTACCATCACTCAATCATGACCTCCTTATTTTTTTATTTCTAATGGGTAAGGCAGATCCAATGGTCACGTTTTATATATCAATTTTCAATCTCGTCATACGTTGTATTAAGAAAATGAATTATACCAAAAGATGCAGCGTGAAAAGCTCTACAATTTACGTAGACCAGCGTATTTTATAGTTGCACTTTTTGTGTTTTTAAAATGGGCAAAACTTTGAGCGAGCAAATTTCGACCGTGCGAAAATTGATCGAAACGTTGCATATTTTGGTATAAGGTGTTTCCTTAATACATTGTATTAAGAGATTGAAAGCCGATATACGAAACATGGCCATTATACCTGCCTCACCCGTTAATATCAAAATAGAAAAAAATAAAATAATTTGACACTTTGCAATACTCTACAACTCAAATAATTAAATACTTTTTATTATAACTATAATCTAGAAACAAAGCAATTGCAAATGTTAACTAATAATACAATAATCAAAATCAATATGAATAATCCTTATACTCTAATTTTTCCTTTTGGCAGCGTTGAACTGAATCAATATTACTATTTATCAGATTAATGAATATGCCAAAAGAATAGAAAAAAAAATTAAATAAAACGAAAAATACTTTCGTGCAAAATATTTCTCATTGTATATGCTTAAAAGACATACACTCTCTCACTTTTCAGGCTTTTGTCAAGAATGTTCGAATGTAAAATTCTAAAGTTTTCAGGATAGATGGATTTCGAGTAGTAGTAGTAGTATAAAGTTATCGCAAAGATAAAAAATAATCCATTGATTAGTAGTGGAAGATTTTTTATTCTTTTTTTTTCAATATCTTTCGTATTCTCTTCATTTTCAATTTCTTGATATAATTCCTTTGCCAAGATAAGATTTTCATAAGCTATTTCATATTTGTATAATTTTTGATAAAAATTAGCCACTATCATATATCTATCAGTCATTCTTTTTTTCTACTTAACAACAAATTGATTTGAGATTACCATTATTTAAAAGACAATATTGGACGACAACAATGCTCAATCTATTAAGTCGAAAATTTTTCTTCGAGGGTTTAGAGTGATGTATGATAAACTCAGTTTTGTCAGAATTTTTTCTGTATACCTTCTCAGTTCTATTGTTATTAAAGATAGTCTTCACAGTGTCGATTGCTACTATAACCTCCCTTCAATGAACAGACGTAACTTCCCCTTTCTCTTTCGGCATCATTTTTGGCTAATGTACTAAAACTGGCTATTCATTGTTTATTAAGGTGAATGATGGCAATGATTCGTCACAACGCAAATAAGTTGAAAAAGCGAATATTCCACTTGATTGTTTATTTATATGATTATCAAACAAACGAGAACCAAAATGAATTCATGTTTATAGTGATTCAAAAAGCAAAGATGAACAACTGTGAAGGACTTTTTTAAATCGAGCTAAGGCTTTTCTTTTGTTGGAAACTTGTTCGATTGAACATAACTTAAATGAAACAAGATCAATAAAGGAGAAAATAGGCGCTAATTACTAGAGAACTAACAAAAAAGAATCATCTTATGAAAGTTGACTTCGTTTTGTAGGAAGATAGGTGAAATCTACGCATAAATGAATACTTTTTACAAGGCCTGACAATATTCACTTAAGAGAGATTTCACTGTAATCTTAAGAAACATTCATGATTCTTAATACAGATCAATATTATATAGGTTATCTCGAAATAAATTAAAATAATTGAATACATGATCATTATTTTATTAAAAATCAATTGAAAACATATTTAACGAAAACTAAATCAGTTAAATGATCGTTAAACTTAACACGTATTTGTATTTTAAACTATTTCAGTTTATCTTGTTCGATTTGAATTCAGATCGCATTTTGAAGAGAGCTTTTCGAAAAGAATTGACACGTTAAATTACGTCTACAACACTTTCTCAATATTGTTGAATATTATTTGATCACTAGAGAATTTTAAATAAGTAAATCAATAGAAAATGAAAATTTTACAGAAAGAAAAAATCGAATCGATTAATAAAAAGTATATTAAATAATAAAATCAAATATTTCAATGAGTTCAAGGATTTGGTACTGATTTTTCATCAGTTTGATCTGATGGTCGTTGATAATCAGAATTTGAAAGTAAATAAATAACAATCAAACTAAATAAACTTGTAAATATACCAAAAAAAATTATAATCAAACGTCTCGATTGTTGGATATCATTCATCGTAAAAAATGATGAAGTCATTCCATGTTCAGATAATCCTGTTAAAATAGATGCAACAGAAGATAAAAATATAATTTTTCCCCAAAGACGATGACTAAAATAAAACATTGATTTAATTAAATTTAAAAAGAAAATTCTCTTACGTAGGCATATATCCTTTTCGAATATCTAAACTTAATTTGGGAAATAAATAGCTAATAAAACCACAAATCCATTGAAAGACAAATAAACCTATTGTTGCTATTCCAATCCATGAATGAAAAGTCATAAAATGTGGTCGGTTAGTAATAATTTTACTTCGAATAATAGCAGCCAATCCAAATGTACCCAAAGTTAATGATATTATCAAAAAACAAGCATGGAATATCTTTACCATTAATTTTGGTATTTGTTTAAATGTTCGATATAAAAGAATAGCATTTCCATAACAAAATAATAAACCAATTGTCATCATTAATGGATGATAACTAAATGGATTTGTTTTCCAATTATAAACATCAGAAGAGACTCGTCTATCAAATAATAAACCAGCTAATATAATACTTAACAAACCAAATATTTCGCCTAAACATAATAATATTGAATAACTTCGATCAGGATCTCTCCCGACTATGACGAACATTTTTCTTAATAATAATTAGATTCTTTGATCAATAATAAACTTTACAATGCAAATCGATAGATAAATAAAACATTTTATATGATTAAGAGATTTATCACGGACGGATTTTTTTTCTACCTCTTCCTTTCTTTTACCTGCCACATATACTTGAGAGAAAAAAATGTCCATATACCAAGTTATGGCGACGTTCGTCATCACATTGGGACTTTCTTTTCGTGCGAACTATCATTACTCACCTTTTCATGACGAAGAAAAGAAAGCGGCGTGTTTTCATGGACTATACCCTCCGGTAGATTTATGTTCTTGATACAAGATCAAGAAACCATTTGTAGACATTTTTAGTATTATCAAAAGAAAAAAAACAATATTTCAGGAAAGAATTCATTTTTGTAGAAAATACAAAAAGAAACCGATTATTATTTCGAGACCCCAAATACCAAAAGTTGATTCTTATGAAAAATAACTATAATGTTCAAGATCAGCATGCGAAAATATACCAAAAAATTTAGTTTTAATCGTAAAATATTTCTATTAAAAAATTTTCCGTACTCCTTCTCAGCTGTTTATTATTTAAATTTTGACCTGTAACCTTTACGAGCAAATTTTGATGGGAAGTATTTCACAATGAAAAATAAACTTTTTAGTTTATTTTTCAAGGAAAGAAAGCAAGATTTCATACTTCAAATGTACAGAAATCCAAAAAAGCACGAAGAAAAACACAGAAGCATATTGAACTATAATAAAATCTATAGAAATGTATGAATGTATTTTGGAAATATCTCGACATTTGTTAAATGCTCTGTTCTTTTTTTTTACTACTAATCATTTAGAGTTCCATATAGCTCAGTCGAATTCTGAAGAACGGTCTAATTATTTTTTTTTAAAGAAGTATAACATTTATTTCTATTGATTATGATCTATTTTATTCTCGATTTTTACTATTTTTCATTTTAATCTGTTCGACTTATGTTATTTACATTTTTTAAAGTGTTATGTAGTCATGATTGTTAAAAATTAATGTAATAACACCAACATTTATATCAATTCAAAGCAGTGCAAAAAAACTAAATGAGCGTGAAAATATGAAGAATTGCCAAAAAAGTACCAAAAAGTATCAAGAAGTCCGAGAAGCACAGAAGTCTGCTTTTTCCCTCTTGATAATCGATCACTCTCGATTTGAAATTCGTCCATTATATTTGTTGAGTAAAAAGATTAACTATGTTTGGATCAAATGCTCACTGTCACCGAAAAACAAATGAATTTAAAATGTGACCTGTGTATGGCGTGCACCGAGCGAGATATCCAACTTTTTCTGTATTAGCAGCGTATGTAAGATATTTAGAATTGAAAATTTCAGCATTATTTATTTTGAAACAGTTTTTCTAATACAACTCGACGAGTTCTATCCAACCATGACGAAAAACGAGAAATAAAATGTGCTGAAATTTTCAATCGTAGGTATCTTACACACGTTGTCAATATACAAAAATTTGGATATCTCGCTTGGTGCACGCCATACGCAGTTCATATTTTAACATTGTGAGTCGATTTCATTATCAGATCCCACAAGAATTCAGAAAAAGATTTTCAAATAAAAAGAAAACATCTGAATTTAATATATCAAGTTGGTTCACAAGAACACAAATTGTTATTGTCTCCTTTGTGATTTGATTTTTTCGAACACTTCTATTATCCATATTATAAACGTACCTCCTAATTATAATATATCTATGGAATGTCCTAGAAAGAAACATAAAATAACTGGTTCTAGATGAGCCAAAGATAGTAGCTTATATTAGATGTGTCAGCATGCCATTCAAGGATGGTGAACTAGATATCGTCTTCTATTATATAGAGCGGTAGTGCATGACAACGTTACTAGCGACATGTATGTTTGAATACAAAGCATACGAAAAACCTCCTTTAGCGTACTTAACAGCTTTTTTCTCTAACTTTTACTTAAGAACTTCGACAAGATCAGAAGAATATGACTCGAGAAAAAGAGATATCCTACACTCCATGCATGAGGAAAACACATTGTCACTTCAAGTCAACAGAACTACGATATTTTCAAAAACTAATTGAGGAAATTAGAAAATAAGTCATCAAAAAAGATGGAAAGTTATCATCGATATATTGCGTTGTTTTAATTTTTGCGCTTCACCACTATATATCAATTAATCGAGACGAAAATCGTGCTATTTCGTTTGCGATTTTCGAGAAAACCAACTTATGTAACACATGTAGCTACGCACTTCAAAGAGGACAAATAAACTGTTGTCCACTTTTATCGTACTTGAACTAGTGTTCATAGTAGATAGTACTAGTTGAAATTGCGAATGCAGAGTTAGCCGCTTTCAAATATTTGCATTCTGAAGTTCATTGTCGATTGTCTTGATCATGGTTTTAGAACAAGAGCTCATACATTAATAGGTAGTAGAAGTTATATTTTTGAATTTACTTTTAACAATGGCGGCGAATCATGTTGACAAATCGAATGATCTACCACTGCATTCACTGCATTATTCTGACATTGCTGGAGAGCCTCAGAAAATGTTGATGCCGATTGAAGGATATGAGAAGATGCCATTGGTGTCTGTTGAAGAAGCCGTTGCACTACTCGTCACGATTCTGCCGGATATTCGTCGCAAAACATGGATTGCTAAAGTTCACGTTGGAGAAGCGCCTACTGATGAACTCTCAACTGATGAGTCAGCTTCGATTTGTTTGTATTCGATGGAATGGGAACCTCGTGATGAATGTCTCTATCATCGACTAAATACAACATTGCGTGATGAAAATCGAGAAAGACTTAAACCATGGTTTCTCTATTTAAAACGTATACTAACTGCTCTTGCTTAAGTACCGTCGATTCATGGTCGAACAGTGTACCGTGGTATAAAACTTGATTTGCATGAAAATTATCCGGAAAAAAAATATTCGTTTGGTGGGGATTCAGTTCATGCACTAGTTCAGTAAAAGTGCTCCAGTCGGAACAATTTCTTGGTGAAACAGGAATGAGAACTATGTTTAATATTCAACAGGATACAGGCAAAGATATTCGACGATACTCATTCTATGAGCGAGAAGATGAAGTATTACTCTTACCTGCAACAAATTTTCAAGTTGTTTCGTGTCTTCAACTAGCATCCAATCTTTTTGTAATCCAACTGAAAGAAATTACGCCTCCGTATCCACTACTTCATCCAATATATTTGAGTGAGACATGTACATCGAATGTGAAAGATTCGTTGACCAACGAAAAATCATCAGAAAGTGCAAAAATGAAAGTAATAACTAATACATATTGCAACTCCTCACTTGAAGCAATTAATTGCTGAATGTGCGTTTCGTTCAACCGTGGATTTGCGTGATCAGCAATTGACGGATCAAGATATGTCAATTGTGGTAAAGCAAGCTATATTTAGCAAAGAATGCATAGAACTCAATTTGTCATACAACAAAATCACATCGATCGGTACCTCATTACTTGCCGATGCATTACACAATATCACAAAACTGAAGACACTTCATCTTTATCAAACAAATCTAACTGATACGAACGTGCAAATTTTGGCAAAATCACTTTCAGAGAATATGTCTAGCCTCTCAGTTCTTGGACTTGACTGGAATAATATTACTGATGACAGCATACAACATTTGGCCAATATGCTTAAAACAAATATGACATTGGCTGTGCTTGGTGTATCGAATAATTCCATAGGCGATCGAGGAGTGCAAATGCTGGCTAATACATTAACTCATCACAATAATAGTCTTGAAGAACTTTCTCTAAATGGAAATAGTTCAGTGAGTGATGCGAGCGTCAAATCTATAATCGAAATGCTCAAACACAATCGATCACTGAAGAAAGTCTCCGTGAACGACTGCAATCTGTCTAAGAAGGGCAAAAGTAAACTTTCTGAAATAGCCGAATTGAAGAAAGCCATCTTTTTAGTAGTGTAAGTCGGGTGGATCAGTGTGTAGACAAGGAGAAGACCTTTGCTCACACACCATCTTCACTCATACTAGAAAAAAGAAATAAACAATATATTACTGTTTGTCTCGATGCTCTACTCAGCAAATATCAAAAAAGCTTTTAATTGTATTGTCTATGATAGTCGATTCGTCGAATATCAACTAACTTCGATTGCACTACTTCGCCATTTTAATAAAATACTAATGAAACATGTTAGATTCTAACAATTTAACTGTGTTCTAAAGAAAATTCATTTAAATTCGTAATTGTCTTTTTTATTAGAGATAATCTGCATAGCTCAGCATAACGCAGTTTCCATATAATTTACTCTGTTCTGCTCCATGTAGATTATCATAAATTCTTCTATGGATAGGTCGATTGAACAGACTAAATTATTTTCTAAAACTGTGGATGACCACTTGAGGATGTAGGTCTTTTCCGCAATCACACCCACCACCCACACTCTCGACTTGGCTTTTTCACTTCTCGACTTTTTGAGATAGTTTCAACAACTGAAATATCTATGTGCTAAAGAAAACAGATATAAGCGTTATGCCGCTGAAGGCGGCTACGTTCCCGCGGTCCACTTATATAAATTCATCAACCGTTGCCGGGTGTGGATGTGGAAGTGAAAAGGCACCTTAATCACACCCACACCCACACCCACACCCACACCCACACCCACACCCACATCCACATCCACATCCACATCCACACCCACATCCACACCCACATCCACACCCGCACCCATACCCTCACACACCCACACCCACACCCACCCACCCTTTTTCGTTGGCTGATTCAGCGCTGAAACAACGGTGATAATGAGCGGAAGTGGCTGGAATGGTACCATAATTGTCGGACTAGGAATACTGCTGTTATGTCCATTGAGTTCCTTGTTTTTGCCTTGTGGAAAGGATGATTGTTGCCGAGCTTTCTGGCCATGATGAATCGTTTTAGGACGCCCGGATTATCGTGGTGGGTAGACTTGCGAGCTCAGAAATAGGCGAAAGTAGGTGGTAGACTTGGGCAGTAAGCTTCACGGAAATTTGGCTTAAAAACCTGACGGAAATCTAGTCAGTTGTAATCAGAGGTGTCGCATGGGTGGGTTAACTCGTCCAACCCGTTGGGTTGGAGCTTCCAATGGTTAGCTTCTAACCCA